GGGTGATGGACTTGCAGGGACTAGTGAGGACGGGTGATGGACTTGCAGGGACTAGTGAGGACGGGTGATGGATTTGTGTGGATCTGTAGGGGCTCGAGTGGAGTTTGATTGACGTGACTACACCCCTGGTGTCTATTAGTATTTTCCCTCTGATTTACAAGATTCTAAATGACAAGGGGTGAGCCTGGAAAAACATAATCTCCTTTCTTAAGCACCTCCTGTTTCCACAGCAAGCGTGTGGGGTCCTGCTCGCTGTAGGCCCCCACTGTCCCCGGAGAGATGAAGACCTTGAAGACTGCCCGCTCCTCCTCTGACTCCTCCACGCAGACAGTTGCCTGGTGATAGTCCTCATCGTAGTCATACTCAGAGGAACCAAGATCTTCGTCATTACGGGCACCGGGCAGGTAAGAGACCTCGTGCTGGCCGACACTAAAATTCCATCTGAGTTTAAAAAGATCAAAGCAACGGAAAATTCAGTTTTAACCCTCACCTTCCAAGGGCTAGAAACCCTGCCATACGCATCAGACTGCATCGTTTGTCAAAGTGGCTTGCCTGCCCACTGTAACAAGATACAACAGGTCAACTCTCTCCAGCCTCGGTGTCTGTGGTTGCCAGTCACCACAAGATCCAACAGTGGCATTGTTCAATAGGACTACAGCAGGTCCCATTGTCTCAACATGGCCCGTTTTTTTCGGCTGCTGTTGATTGCCCAGTGCATCAAAGTGCATCAACCTTTTTCGCCTGATGTACTGTGCTGTGTCTGGCTGAGTTAGGGTCAAGAAAGGAGAAAAATTACCAAATTCCTCTTTTTTTGTTTTTAAAAATAAGAACCAGTGAGTACATTCTTTGTCAACCAAAACAACCAGCCTCTGCTTGAGGGACTCAGGTACCAAAAAAGGTACAAGTTGAGGTGAGCCAGTTAACCAGCTCACCTCTTATTTTGGACTTTTATGAGCACTGAACTCAATGCAAAGTGACAGAAGCTGTGGGTTCTACTGACTTTTCAGCTCCGGTCCGCTGTTCTACAGCTCGGCACGTTCTCTGCACTCGCTCTATGACAATGATGTCATCCTTGTCGGTGCTTTCGTTCTCTTCAAAGATGTGGCAGCCGCTCACACCACAAACGTAAACAATCTGTCGGAAAGCATGACAAAATGATTCCGTAAGATAAAAATGTAGAATTGTGAGGAATCTCTTACCATTAGTAAATAAAAATAACAACTGCGTTTAGAATGGTAACAAATGTTTTAACTGAGATGAATGGAAAGTAAAAAATCAAACCAAACTGTGAGAGATGCGGAAGAAAATGCTGTTGACTGACCACTATCACTGGAAGAACCCTTAAGGGGATAGTTCACTGTGAGTAAAAATTTGTATTACGACAGTTTTCAACCGTCAAACAGGTGAAGGAATATTCATTGCCCCTTTTCAGGTCCCTTAAAACAGAGGTCTACAGTTGCTGGCACCTTTTATCTGCACTGGAGACTACAGTTCTCAGATGGACAAGTCATACTTTTGGTTGATCTGATGCTATCTGAACATCCAAATGTGGCTTGACAACAAACCAGAAGATTATTGAGAAAGGGGTGGACCCTGCACCTTCCCTATGCTGCCCACCTGTCCCGTCCCAGCATTGATGCCATAGGTGCTGGTCTCTTTCCCCCCAACCATCACCGCATCGTCGCTGAGCTTGAAGGAGGAGCTGAGCAGCATGTCGGCGCTGAGGGGCACCGGCTCCACGTTCTGCCCATCCCAGCGGAACAGGCCGCCGTCCAGGGAAGGGATCACCTTGTAGCTGCCGTCCGGCCCAATAACCTTGGTTGTTCAAGGAGATGAGAGATAGAGAGAGGAAAAGAGAACTGTCAGGAGTGTGGTCTAGACCATCACAAGACCAGACACAAGACCAGTCACAAGTAATGGGGTGAACGATGCAAAAAAGAATCCTTTTGTCGATAGCTTGTGACTCGAATTAGGACCGGAGGTCTTGTGATGGTTTGTGGGGACTTATAATGGTCTTGAGAGGTCTCAACTACAACAGTGAGGAACAGAAAGAGCAACATATTCTCGGGCTAATCGTCAGTACGCTTGATGTTCTCGAAGGGTTGGTCAGACTTGCCTTGGGACGAGGATTCAGGGATTCTGAAAACTCCACGGCAAAGTGTGCTATGATGTTGAATCTCAGTACAAGATTCAGGATTGAATTAATCTATCTATAGAGGCTTTACATGGTAGTCACCATGCAGGGCAGTTTTGTTCCACAGGGAAACCACCTTTGTGCATACCTCAAGAAACAGAAGCCCTGGCCTGCAAGATGGCAGCCATGCAAACCCTCTACTAAAAAAGAAATTATGAGCCTGCAAAAGGAGGCATTGTCGAGACACATAAAGACACACTCAGTGCCAAAGGTTCTCACCATAAGGATGGCATTGGCTCTTGTTAATCAGCCAAACAAAGCCCTATAAAAGTCACTGCTTGAGAATTCACTGCTTAATAAAATTACAAGCTCGGCTAAAGATGGATAGGACCCAGTCACAAGTCAACCAAAAAAAAAAACCCTGACAAAACCCTTGTTGAAAGCATACTTGGTTTAATAAGAGAAATTATGGGACCCATCCTTAAGAAATTATTTATTCTGGCAAGTTGTCATTTTGAAAAAAATAATGAAAGAAGGCCGTTTCCAATGATGTGTCTAACGAAGCATAATTGGAAAATTGCCATTAGCAGTTTGTTCTTAACCCTAACCTTCCCTAACCATACAGAATTGAACATCAGTAAAGTGTGTGAATCTGTGGCACTGGGTACTGTACCCCTAAACTACTTGTGCTTTAACATGGGTTCAGGCATTCTTTAAATAAACAGAGTCCAACAGTTTTTGTTTGCCATATGGTGATGGAATTTGTGTGAATGGGTATGGTTCCTAGTAAATCACTCTGGGGAGTTAGGGTTAATGTGGCCAAACACATGCAACCATTGACACCACTCGCACGCAAACACGATTATTATAATTCGTCGGTTCAGTGTGCAACATCGCCTCGATGCAATCAGCTGAAAAACGTGTTTGGGAGGCTGAATTCGGGTGCAATTCACAATAGGAATTGGTAACTTTTTGATTTGCAATCAAGATCCTAGAATATAGTTTTTCAGAATATAGAGTTTTGACTGAGCTAAATTTCATCAGGTTTTTGATTTGCAATCAAGATCCTAGAATATAGTTTTTAAGAATATAGAGTTTTGACTGAGCTAAATTTCATCAGGTTGGCCTATTTTGTTGCTTCAAATGAACATACATGTAAATGCAAATGACAAATCATCAAAAATGATGGAAAGCAAATACTTCCTTGCTTTGCGTCCCGAGTGTTCATCAACATATTTTACTTATGGGTTTCTCCAAGCTTTGAAAAAAAAAACCCAATTTTCCTCATAAATTCAAGGGCTGTCAAACAGTACAGATGGGTAACGTACCTCAAAATCACTGATGGAGGCATCCATCAGGGGACCAATGTCTGTGTCAAGCGTCCACTGGACCGATCCAGCGTTGTGCAAGTCCAGGGCAGAGACCTTGCCATCCAGGGTGCTGACGAGCATCAAATCCCTGAAGAGACAATGGGGTTTTCGCATGCAGCCACATAAAACATCAAGTCTTGTTTCTTAGTTGGTTTCACATCCTCACTGATCAACAGTTTTCCTTTCCTTATCAACTTAGAGTAAAGAACCAGCTATCGCATGTGCTTCACTATCCGAGTGAATGACTTTGTATGGGACCTATCACCACAAAATGAGCTGAAAGTTGGAATTTTTGAAAACTGAAATGTTTGTAATTTTCTTATTCAGCAGAAAAAAAAATCTTTCCAGTGGTATATAACACTACAGGGGTTAAAATTAACGGTGGTCCATTAGCCCAAGACCAGTAGAAAAGTCGGAGGACTAGCTGATCTAATAAAACTGGTGATCCGGTGGGCCAGTACAAAATGTACGTGACAAATGTAATAAAATATTGAAGAACTGAAAAACAAAAGATATGTGAATATATTACCCTAATTAGTAGCATGGAGGAATCAGTTATATGCTCGTGTGCTGCGTGTACCTAGCTGTGCGACATATGAACGATCCAAATTGTCGTATCGCCATGTGTGTGCACCATGCGCTGGGCAAGCCTAGTATTTTCAAAACGAGTGCATTCAGCTTAGACTTCGGTTTCCCTGGTTCCAGTCAGAGCTTGAACATGTGGTTTTGAACACTGTTTCAAAATGGCTGGAACCAGCGAAACTAAATCTAAGCCTTATCCACTCGTTTTGGAAACACCCCTAGTTTGATTGCAAGAAGTTATCCTCTATATTAACATGTACATGTAGGCCCCCTAACAAGGATTGGTCAATGCGGCTGTGTGTGCAGTACATCTGGTTGGACTACCAAACTTTCAGCAGGACCAGTGGAAATTTTACTGGTCCTGCTGGCTACCCCGTAAGAAAGATAATTTCGACCCCTGCACTAATAGGGTTAAAAGTAGGGTGACAACGTGACACTTTTCCCGCGGCTTTGCATCTTGTTTCCAATACTGCTTCAACATTTCTGACCAGGAAGGTATAATGCTATTGTCAAAACTGGTAAGAAAAGGATATTTCTGAATATCTGAGCCTGCCAAAACTTTGAAATTAAATAGATGGGTTTAATCTTTCCAAGTAATACAAAGCCCCCAAAGTGACTTCCTCTTTAATTTTTGACTGTGAACTGTCATAATGAGTGAAACACAGTCATTTGCAAAAGTTTAAGACCACCTTGAATTTTATTGGTGTTTCTGTCACTGGGCCTGCATTACATTGTCTCTCTGAATGATTACTTAACATGATTTTACAGTGGTGCATAACATCAGTGTAGCGCTATATACCCATTTGAATGAAATTTTTTGCAAAGGCAGATCCTGTATGACATTTTGTCTGCAAGGAAGCATGGGTAAAAAAAAAGCCAGTCTAAGCAATCGGAAATAAAGGAGGGAACACTAAATATTAGACTGTTAACATGTCAAATCATGGAAATGTAGTCAAAAATGTCCAACCAACGTACCAAGGTTACACATTGAAAATAAACATAATTTGCCATGATTGATTGGTTTAAGTTTGGTTTTCCTTCAGTTCAATGCGTTTTCTACGGGTGGTCCTAAACTTTTGCAAATGACTGTTCTTCATTCGTCTGTTTAAATTAACTACAGATTTTCTATCTAAAATTTTCTGGCCTGGCTTTTTACAATACCTGCCCAATTAATGATAACGAGGTGTTTTTACTCTATCTAT